TTCTTGAGGAATTAATATTAAAGTAAATTTATGGCAAAGTAAAGATTAAAATTTCAGCATTCTTTCTAAGATGTGCATGTGTAATTACATCAATGTAATCCGCACTTTAGTCTGCTGACTTCTAAAGGATGAAATGCAGCAACTGAAAATTTGTCTTACACTGTCTTTTTTCTTTTCTTATAGTGAGGTTCACCATCTACAAGGCCCAAGGACCACTCAAAGTACAGGATTAAAGTGTAGGAAACAGTTTATGCCGATATGTAGGGAAGATAATGGTTAAGCCAAGACTTGAACAGGTTAGTGATTGGGAAAACATCCTCTTGGAATTGGTTCCATAGAGCAGTGGTTCACAGGAAGAAGCTGTTCAAGTAGAACATATTTCTCACTGATGGAATATGGAGAGAATGGGGGTGGTTTGCTACAATGTGTATATCATGGTAGGTTCTAGCTGTGAAGGTTAGAAATAGTGGAACTAAGGAATATAGTTTGTCTGAGAACTTTTCATGGAAATAGCAATAGAGCAGTGAGAGGCTTGCAATGTTTCATCTGTGAAAGAGGTGGAAAATAATTTGTCACCCATAAGAACGTGGAGATGCTTTTGGGCTCCACCGAGACTGAAAAGTGAGGACTGTGCAGCTCCTGCCCAAATATGACAGCAGTACTCCATTTTAGGTCTGATCTAGCTCTTGTAAAGGTAGAGAGTAGCACAAGGAGTCAGGTACTTACTGGAGTAAACAGGAAATAAAATAAGAGATATAAATTTTTATATATCGAAACAATTTTAGGAAAATCTATGACAAAGTAGAAAAATGATTAAGAATTTTGCAGCAAGCAAGGTTCTAGTTTCTCTTTTTAAAGAAAGCACATCCTCTTCAGTGAGATTATTTTCTCAAAACCTTCAGATCTGTTCAGTAAACAAAGCAATTTCTGAAGAATGAATAGATTTATTTGGACAAATATTCACTAGTTTCTATGAATAAATGATAGTCAAATAAGTAAAACTGAAAATGCTATGTGTGACTTTCAGTTGGTGGAGCCCACCAAATCAACCATATTGGAATGGCTAGTATACATCCTTTTTTTCATTCTTCTAACACTGACAGTGATCCATGATAAGTTCTTGATGGTAATGAAAACTTAGAAAGCAATTGTTATTCTGAAACAGCTGACAAAATATTTCGTCAGTATATGTCACAAAAACAAAACAAAAACATCTCAATGCAAAGAGACAATTATTTTTATTAAAGACAACAAAAAGACATTCTAATACTCCTCAAAACACAGATATATTTAAGTTGTTAACTTTTTCTGTCTATATCTCTGAGATGAGGTATTATTATTACTTGCATTATTTACATTATTCGGACTATTAGCCTCATCTTCAATACCATATTCACAAGATTTCAGCTGTTGTATGCTCCAGCCCTCTTCAGGGAATAGGAATTTTAAACCAAATCTTTTATTTCATCCACCGGTGTAAACTGTTCTAGTTACACGTGCCATGCCTCTTTTGAATGTCTTTATCCATTGGGCCAAGGACACATGACCCAGTGGATAAAGACGTTGGTTAGATCCAGTGACTAGACCCAAAGAGTTGTGAGTTCAATACCAGGCCACAGAAGTGGTGAACCAAAACTTGGAGAGTTGAGTTAAAGGGAAATAACTGAGGCACCTGAAAGAGGCATGGCACATGGAAATAGAACACTCTACCCCAGTGAATGAAATAAAGAGTTTGGTTCAAAATTCCAATCACCTGAAGAAGGTCAGAGCGTACCATGGCTGAAACGTTGTGAATATGGCAATGAAGATGCAAATAGCAGTTTGAATAATGTAAATAATGCATGTTAACTTTCTGTTTATTAAATTTAATAATTTGGAAACATTAAAGGTTCTGAGATATTGAAAAATCTGCGTATGTATGTGACATGACACACACATATAATCCAAATGTAATACCTTCATTTTTTGGATTATGTTGGTTTTATTGTACTCAAGTAAACCACCTTGCAAATAACCTATAATTATTTTTGACTTATTATATTAGTCTGGCAAAATGGTATGTGAGACAAAAGTGCATACAAAGCAAAGGTGTATCATCAAAATCTTCCATACAAACACTGATATTAATTGATGATTGTTGAATGTTTATGGCAACGAAACAGTGGATGTGAGCACAATTAGGCAGTGGGTAATGCATTGCCGCTGTAGCAACAGTGATGCATGTAATAAGCCATATTCTGTGTGATCTTACACAGCAATGAACTCACAGAATGAAAAGTACTTACAAAATGCATAGTTAACGGAGAGCACTATGTGTAAAAAATAATGTTCTATGGCTGAAAGTGTTTCTTTAACATTGTTGTTGTGCTTCTTGTATGTTACAGCTTTCATGGAAATAAATAGGAGTTATTTTTGGAGAATCTACAGTATCTGTGTGCATGTGGGTGGGGGATATATTTAAGGTGTTAACTATCCCTTTATTAAATTTAATAATTTAGAAACATTAACAGATTCCGAGATATTGAAAGCAGTTGAATAAATTCTGGACAGGTCTGGGTATGTTACATCACACACACAGACAATCCAAATGTAATGCCTCTATTTTTTGATTATGTTGGTGTTATCGTAATTGTTGAAACTTGACTAATGCTTGGAATAATAATGCAACACAAAATGTACTTAGAACAAAATGTATTGAAACAAGAAAGTGTACACAATATTTACATATAGTCTTCTGTATATTCCTGGTAAGACCGTTCCTAGAGAATGTGTTAACTGAGTCGCAGTTGGGCAGAGTCTCTGGTTGAATCTCTTGATTCCTCCTCTCTTCCCGGTACCAACCATATTTATATGGTCGGTACTCCACTATGCAAATTAGGTGGATCCTACCACAACAGTAATCAAGTAAACCAGGTTGCAAATAACCTATAATTATTTTTTGCATTGTTATAGCAGTCTGGCAAAATGGTGTGTGACATGAAACGGTTTATAATATATATTGCTCTATATATGATACAGCCTGCATAAAAATTTAAAGACAATATCATTGCTACATCATTTTTAGTGTCAATCATTTTATATCCATGTATAAATGCTGTCGATTAGCCAAAAGAAATAAATAAATATTTACTTCCTTAGTATGACATGAAAGATATAAATACACATTGGTAATTACTATATAGTGTTCGTTACTCATGGTGTTGATTACTTAATATAAATAATTTGGCAAACTTGAACCTTTGTACCCTCACAAAAAGTGTCAAAAGAATAGTTTTTCCATTGATACTGCTATTATTTTAACTACCTTCACTCCTTGGTAATGCTTCAGTTATGTGCCATGCATGATACACACTTAGGCAATCATGTATCTTTTGATACATGACTGACGAGGTAGATTTTTTCTGGTTGTAGACTGCCATTTCTTTCTGCAGTTGCCATTAAAGGCTATAGAACCTGGTCTGTTCTGCCATTTCCCCATAGCTGGAGGAAGAAGAAAAGGATTCATACCTTTCCCAAGGGTATTAGTACATAAATGAATGTAACAGATCTGACTGGAATTCAAAACTCAGCTGGCAATGCTTACTGTTTTAAAAAGTGATTAGAATTGTAATAAAACCTAAACATATGATCAAACTGAATTTATACATTTTTTTTGTTCTTGAGAATTTACAACTAAAATATTAAACCCTATTTATTCATTAGATTGTTTATTTACAAGAATAATTTTATTTACAACATTCTAAAAAACTAATACAATTTCATTAAAACTAATACAATGCAATATTTATTATTTACCAATTTATTATGAAAATCTTTTATTCATGAATTTATAAACATTTACTAAATTATTAAAATTGTGAACCAACCATAAGGAAATCATTATTTACCATTTTATAAAGTTCAAAACAAATAGCAATTAGTTGATGCTTTGCCAACAATATAGTGTAAATAAACAATTTCAAAGTGTTTTATATTTTTGTTATAAATTCCCGAGAAAAAAAAAAAAAAAAAACAAAAACAAAAAAAAAACAAACAATGTATAAATTCACTTTCATCATGTGTTTAGGTTTTATTACAATTCTAATCACAGCTTTTTAAAACTATAAACACTGCTGAGGAGTGAAGGTCGTTTAATTAATACCAGTGTCAATGGAAAAGTTGTCATTTTGACAACGTCTTATTGCAGCATTATTAACATTATTCAGTCCTCATCTTTGTCGCAATATTTATTACAACATTTCGGCCGTTGTATGCTCTGGCCTTCTTCAGGTGGTTGGAATGTCAAACTGAACCCTTTATTTCACTCACTGAGGTAGACTGTTCTAGTTCCATGTGCAATGTTTAATGGATGTCAGTTATCAGTTATCTCCTGTTAATTTCCCTCTCCAAGTTCTTCAACTCCTTAACCGGGTATTGAACTCACACTCTTTATCTAAGTAACGCCTTTATCCACTGTGCCATGTGTCCTCAAGGACACATGGCACAGTGAATAAAAGTGTTAGTTAGATCCAGTGACAGGACCCAAAGACATTAGCAGATAAAGTCTTTGAAATGATCCAACAAGAGATTGGCATTTTATTAACTAGGGTAATAGGACTTTTTTTGATATGATGGCTTCCTGTAGCCTAAATGGTAAGACACTTTTAGCTTAAAAAAAGTGATATATTTGTTTGTTTTTGGTATCTTTGTTGCCATATTTATCATAACATTTCAGCCGTTGTGCACTCCAGCCTTCTTCAGGTGGTTGAAATGTCAAACTGAACCCTTTGTTTTTACGGCTTATCAACCTTGTGCAGGTTATTTAAAGACAGAAAATATTTTTAGATTGTAAGAATATCTTGAGATAATGATTTACCGATACAAGTCTTCCTAATTAACCCATAGTTGGGAGGTAGAGAAGAGGTGGATTCATACCTTTCCCAAGTGTATTTGCCTGTAAGTGAATATAACAAACCTGGCTCTCCAATTTCTGATTTGTTCTCACTACCCACACCCTCAAGCTTACAGCATCTGATATTCGCAAGTGGTCACCCATTTTACTACTGACCAGAGTCAACATTGCTTAACTTTGGTGATTGTATGAGAACAGGTGTTGCAACAGAGTATGGCTGTAAACCTCGCTTAAAAGTGATTTCCTTGATTGAAAAAAGAGAATGTAAGTTTAATTCCTGTTGGGGGGTATGTTTTCTTAAGTGGTGTTTTCTCAATGTCTAGGCCAGTAGACATTAATTTTATCGTTAAACAAAAACAAAAAAAAAAAAAACCCAGGGTTGTCTAATGAAAGATGTACAACCACCCACTACAAAATAACATTCATAGTAATAAGTGAGTAAATTCAATGGAAATGTCTTTTTGCTTTCGTTACTTACATATTCAAGCTGGAATGAAGCGAAATCTAAACCAGATGTCAGCGTGACGAGCACATTCATTCGCTGGGGGGGAAAAAGAAGAAAAGAAATTTATAATTATATATTAAAAACATTTACTAAGTTTAGTATGGCACAAATAAGGGGAAGAGAATGATAAGATTATGTTGCACCAGCCGTCAAAATGGGGAGGGTTTAATACTTTCGAAATCCAGCTTTTTATCTTGGCTTAAAAAGCCATCATTTGTGCTGATGGGAAAGAATGTTGCTATTGGGTGTATGCAAAAGTTTCTAGAGGTTCTTTTGTTGATTGATGGATTCATTTTTTATGGTTTATCAACCCTTTGCAAGTTATTTAAAGCCAAAAAAATATTTTTAGATTGTAAAAATTTTTTTTCTGATATCCTGGTTTAGTGATATAAGTCTTACAGTCTCTATTCAAGACATTGGCAATCATTGCTCTCCACTATTTCCTGTCCTTTGTAGCTCTTAATAAATTTTATCTTTTTGTTATTTCTCCTAAACCTTGCTCCGCCATCCATTTACTCAAGCTCACTAGGTAGGTTATGCCTTGTTTTCGTCTGTCCCTCTTGCCTTCAAATCTGTCATGTGGGTATCAAATTTTATAAGCATTCTTTCCTCATTATGTGCCCTAGAAAATTTCAACTATCTCTTTTTGATGTTATGTACAAGTGTCCTTTATGCTTCCATTTTCTCTAAAACTTCATCACTGCTCAGATGTTTGCTCCATGGCATTCTCAGCATCCTTCCATAGAACGACATTACTGTTGCTTAAAGTCTCTTCTTTCTTAAAAAAATTATAATCAGAAGTAAAGAGACACAGACAAATATCCATATATTACAAGGGGATGCTGAAAATATTTTTGCCTGATCAAGAAAAAAAAATATCAAAAGTTCTTAATCCATGTTCAAAAATTTTGTGAAACATCAGATCTACCAAAATCTGATGTTTCACAAAATTTTGGGACATGGATTAAGAACTTTTGATATTTTTTTTTTTTTCCATTTTTGTTTCATTTTTGGAAGTGCTATCTGATGATCCAGCATCCTTTAAAAGGGCTCTGGTGATATAAATTATTATAATGGAACCTTAAAGTGGTCTGTTTTTCTTTAATTAATATATATATATATATAGATAACTAGACTCGTTTCGAAAAACCCTCGAATTTTTATTTGCTAATCAAATCAATCTCGAGGGAAAAAAAGGTTTTAAAAAAAGAAAGAGCTACAAACATGAACTTCTGCCGACAAAAAAATCACACAGATGCAGGTCTGAAGCCCAAAGAAAAAACCCGATCTGAGTAACAACTAACAAAAGAGCTCAATACAACCGTAGAGCAGACCTAGATACACCTAGTGAGCCAGACAAACTTACCTTAGGTTTCACCTAAGCGGATGCGTCAGGGGAAAGTTTGGCCAAACTTTCCCTGACGATCCGTTTAGGTGAAACCTAGGTAGGTTTGTCTGGCTCACTAGGTGTATATATATATATATATATATATATATATATATATATATATGTGTGTGTGTGTGTGTGTGTGTGTGTGCATGCATGCATGTTTATGATAAAATTATTTGGGATCTGAATCATCTTTTATAAGTCATCGAGTCTAGAAGAATTCTCAACAAAATGCAGAAAGCACTGGACGGCTGTTTCTTTCAATTTGGGACTCATTAGCAGTGGGAATCCAGTACCGAGAATCAAACCCGAACCATTACGATACAACACAAGCATCATACCACTGGACCAATGGGCCTCAGAGATGAAGAAAAAACTGACTAGACTCAATATAGTGCCGCTACTCACTAAAATCCGTGGTGATACTCATTCAAGTATACAAAACAACGGATTGTGCCCCAAGAGCCACGTCTTCTTTCCACAAGTTTCTCCCTCCAGAGCATTAAAAGCTGGCTCAAGCAAGGATATACAACTGGTAGAAATTTTTGGTTTAGTTGGTCCAGTGGTATGATGCTTGTATTGTAACATAACGGTCCAGGTTCAATTCTTGTTAGTGGATGCGCACTACTGATGAGTCCTAAATACGACAAAATTGCTGTCGAGTGCTTTCTGCATTCTGTTGAGAATTCTTTTTGATTTGATGAATATATATATATGTGTGTGTGTGTGTGTGTATAAACCTGTGTCCCATTTGGCAGGAGAAATCATCATTAAATCTGGCATGCTTTAGACAGACTTGACCATAGAATGTGTTGACAATCAAGCAAAGTTGAATAGGGCCTTACAAAGCAAATCTTTTTCAGATTGTTGAGACATTCATATTTGCTCAGTTTTGTATCCAGACAAAGTAATTTCTAAAGAAATGATGGATTTTTATTTATTAATACAACAGATTTTCTTACTTAAATTTTATTTTTAGTGGATACTCATAGTTGAGTAGATGCTCCATTTATTTATTAAACAGTATATTTATTTTCATCTACCAGTCTGTGCAGAAGGCACATATTTTTCTTTAATAAGATTTCTTGACTATTCAGGCTAGTAGACTAAAATAAATAAATATGCTATTTTTCTCTCCAGAATCTGTCTTGCATATTTGTAAGTATACCATTCATCCATGCTTCAAATATTGTCCAGTGCTCCTGCTATATATTTAGAGATTCTTCATAGAATCCAAAGAATCAGCAATATTATGACCTGGCATCTTCGCTTTAGTCACTTCCCAACCTCTGTAAAGTTGCTTCCCTCTGCCTTTTCTATAAATACTTTCATGGTAATTGTTTGGATAATCTCTGCACTATGGTACCTAGACTTTAGGAATTTAAGTGCAGTACTAGATTGGTGGCAAGGTCTCATCAATTTATAGTTGAATTGGCTAAATGTAACCATGAGTTCTAACAGTTTCTTTTCTCGCACTTTTCGCTTGTGGAACTCTCTTCTGGCTTCTTGCTTTCCAGTCAACTTTGATCTTCAAAAATTTGAATGCAATGTCAATCATTATCTACTGTCTTCCTGATTACTCTTCTATTGTTCTTGCTCAATTTTTGCTTGGGGAGCTCTCTTCCAGCTTCTTGCTTTCCAGCCATCTTTCAAAAATTTAAATGCAATGTCAATTGTCATTTACTGTCTTTTTGCTTACTTTACTGCCTTTCTTGGGGGTGAATTAAAAACAAAAAAAAAATCCTTACCTGTGACATTTGCTAAATTAATGTTTTTAACATATACAATATCATACAACACATGTGCATCTGGTAGTAAGTTTTGCATTGCCCGACACATACGTGTCCATTCCATAGTTTTATCTAAAGTGGTAGAAATAACTAACCACTCATGGCATTGAGAAGATGCATTTGTTTTAAAGCTCTCTCCAATGCAGCAATGAATATCAAACACAAAGGTTTTTCATCTTTATAAAATATTTGATCCATGTATTTACAGCTTTTCATTCTAATGTGTTATTTAATTCAACAATGTATGTAAAAACAATTTCCCCCACACCAAAAAAAATAAATAAAGGTCAAACAACCAACCAACATTTAAAAATCACAGTTTTTGTCTTGAACCATTAAGGTTTTGGGTGATAGTAATAGTATTACTATATATTATATATTACTAATACTTAAATAACTGAAAGCACTTGATCAAAAATATTTGCATAGTTCTTACATTAACTTCTGTTCTGCTTTTACTTGTATAGAAACAACAAACTAAAATGTTGGGAAAAAATATTCCTTGCCTGTGGCCCTTAACCAAAAATCTATTAATGCTTAAGTTCACATAGATGTATCAGGTAAAAAATAAAGTTAGGATATATAGACTTCAGAAGGTCCCGACAAAGATGTGGATTTCTTAAATAGGGTAAATAAGCCTTGGTTTACTGTAATGATTTCCTATAGCTTAATTACAAAGCATGTTTGAGCTTGAAGGTGGTTTCCCCGGATTAAAGAGAATACAGGTTCAATTCCTCTTGAGAGATCAGTCAATTATGTGCCAGGCATGATACACGCTTAGACGATCATGTATCTTTCGATATATGACTGATGAGGCAGATTTTTTTTTCCCCCTGCAGTAGGTTGCCATTTCTTTCTGCGATAGACCAGTTGCCATCCAAGGCTATAGAACCTGGTCTGTCCTGCTATTTACCCATGATGAAGGCCCAATCAAAAAACCTCCGTGGGAGCTAGCTTAAATGCCGACCAGTAGCAAAACTGAGTTTCATGCACAATGCTATATTCAGATACAGAAAAAAATGTATATTTTTTATCAATATTGTTATATACTGTATCTTTGAACACTAATGGGTATGTCCCAATCCTCATAAATACATTGGACACTATTGTAAGTGGGGGGGGGGTAACATGCTGTCTAAGTAGTTCCCTACTAGCAGTGGTTTACCTATTTCACACTGCTGGCGAGTAATGCATTTTGTTGATGTTATAAAGATTCAGACAGTTATGTGCCATGTGTGATACAAGCTTAAGCGATCATGTATCTTCCAGGCGTAAAATGTGAACAACCCAGCCCTGATGAGACGTCTTCCGGGCGTAAAATGTGAACAACCCAGCCCTGATGAGACGTCCCCCCCACCCTGGGTGTGGAATGTGAACAACCTAGCCTTGATGAGATATCCCTTGGTTGTGGAATGTGAACAATCCAGTTTGTTATAATGAATTTGCTGTGCATTTTTTTTTTTTTTTTTATATAGAGGCTGTCTTGAGCCTCTTGAAAAAAAAAAAAAAGCAATCAAATATTTTCCTAACTTTGCA